AGGGCGTGCTGTTTGACTCCATCCTCAGCTCATCAGTAAGGCTGCCTGTGGCATTGGACCTGGTCCTGCTATTTGAGCCCTGCATGCCCCCCCACCCCCCGGCCGCCTTAGTGCTGGATGCACTGGTGTCTGGCTGCTTCCAGAGAGTAAAGGGATGGGGTGTGGTGAAGACAGGCTACTCAATTGGTTCAGGCACAGAGTAAATTCTGCAGGCACAGACCACTGGGTGCAACTGCTTTTTTGTTGAGTTGCACAATTAGGTACCTGGCAGACAGCAATTCCTCTGATGGAAAGAGCCGAAGATCAGGGAGGAGTGAAAATGGCTCTGCCTGTTTCTTCTGCGTAGACTTTTCTTCCCCTCTCCACCACAAATAGCCTCTTAGAGGGCGCTGATAAAAAAAATGAAGGAATTGACATCTCCCTAGTTTTCCTTTTTTTCAAGAGTTAGGTTTAAGAGGGGGTTAAAAGGGAAGGGAAATCTGCATTCCTCTCCTTGGCCTCCTTCCTGGTAGTTAAATGGGCTGCATTATTTAACAACAGCCTGTTTTACTCCTGAAATTCTCAGAACCTTAACTGTAATTTTTTTTCCTGCCCTCTTACATAAGCACCATTCTTGTTAGGGGTGTGGCATTGCCTCACTGCTGACTCATGCAGCACTGAAACCCCACATCCAGAGCAGCTCTGTTTTAGTTCAGAAATTCATTTCTAAGTAGTGTAGAAGGCTATGCATTTCCATTGCAGTATTTTAATATACAAGTATAAAAAAGATGCTTTATGTAGCATATAGGCTACAGGGTGCAACATCAGATTCAGGAACACGAGCAGCTGAGAAGACTGGGGTTTGGGGTTTAGTTACAGTGACATAAAAGCAGGCTTGAAATTCAGAGAATCACCTGCCTGGCACTGCAGCAAGCAAATTCTAAAAATACCAGCTTGTCCTGTTTACCTATTTATATGCCAAGCAACAAAAGCAGCTATTGGACTCTCATCTCAGCAGCAGCAACCTTCTGCCAATAACCATTTATGCTCTGCATTACTAGAACTTAAGGTTTTGTTTTCCCCTAGCAATACAGTTGAGGAGTACATACTTTCACAAACCTAAGTTCTCCTTTCTCTCTACTTTTCCTTTTTATTCTTTCTTACTATTTCAGTCTCCTCGGTTTTAATCTCTATGGCCTGTCTAACCTTTATTGCGGCCAGACAAGCTGACTTGGCTTGCTTGGTCTTCATTTTCTCTTCTGCCCCTTACTACTTTCTTTCTCCTTCTCCACCGTCTTGCTTCAGTGCTCCTTCCCCCTTTGGTCTCTGTTTTCTCTTGCCTTCCCCTTCCTACCTGGGGAAGATGATTTTGCACTGCTCTGTGGAAGGGGACAAAGAGGGCACAAAGATCTCCATGCAGGGGAGGAAGTTGGTAGAGTTTCTGTAAGGAAGGGTCTGCCATTCCCAAAAAGGATACTGCTATAAAACAGTGTCTGTCCTGTCCTCTTTTCTTCCCCTTTGCTTGTGCGGAAGCTCTTTTAGGGAAACTTCTCACTGGATCTCCCTACAAAGGTATGATGTGGTGTCACACCAGGGTAGTGTTGGGCTTTACTAGCCATCTCTGCTGGAGCCAACAAAGTCCTTTCTATAGTGTTTACTGGGGCTGTGCGAAATGGCACTGTTCTGTTTCAACTTCAGTTTCGAAGTTTGGACAGAATAGTGTTTTGTTTCGAATTTCATTTCGAGTTGAAACAACTGTTCCATTTCGCTTCATCGTAACAGTGAGGCTGTTTTGACGCTGTTTTGATGTTTTGCCCAACCATCGGGCTGGGGAAACAAACTCAGCCCAGCTGGCCTAACTTTCCATTCCCATCCCGATCGTAGGGCTGGGAAGGGGAACTGAGTGATTGGGCTCAGTTTCTTTCCCCAGCCTGATCGCAGTGCTTGGGAGGGGAACTGAGCCCCTGTGCTGTGATAGGCTTCCCGCAGCCCAGCGGCGAGAGACGGAGAGAGCCAGGGCTGCACTCCTGGCTGCTTCTGGGAAAACAGCCCTGATTCTCCCCCACCTCCCACCACCTTGCTGCTGGCTGCTTCGAAACTTTCGAAACGTTTAGACTAGCCTCGTTTTGTTTCAAGGCTGTTTCGAAGCCCTTTGTTTTGATTTGATTTCGCTGTTTCGAGTCGAAACAGTGTTGAATCGAAACAGCCAGTGAAATCTCACACAGTCTTAGTGTTTACTCTATGCCGTTGGGTTCCAGGGATGGGTACTCACTCACACCTCCATGCCTTTGGGCTTCTGTCCTCCAGTCACCATTTGGCAGAGACCGGTGGGGTGCTAAACAGCTTTATCTTTATTAGGAACAGGATTCAGCAACTCACATGCTCACAACTTGCAGGGAGAACTACAACTACCCACCATCACAAACCACACCCACAGGGCATCAGGGGAGAGACTGGGTCATCCCACTGCTGGCTCCTTAAAGGTACATTCCATATACCACAACTTCTACTGGAACAAAGGAGAAGACAAGAAATTAGAAGGGTTAGTACCACATTGTTTCGCTGTGGGTAGATGGATGTTGGGCTCCTGTGGGTGTGAACAGGTGAAGGCCCAGAGGAGGTCAGAATCACCTTGCCAGGGAACATGTTTTTCTACACCAGCTCTGGACTGATGCCTACCTCTCCTGACTGGCACAGAGGTAAGTAGTACTTTTCATTCAGATTCCAACGTGCTTTACATGACCTCATTTAAAAAACGGGGACATCAGCGAAGAAAGGGCTTGTCTACATCAGTGGTTCTCAACCTTTTTTGTACAAGGAGCCATCTGTAAAAACTGATGGCCAGTCTAGCCCTGCTGCCCCTCCTTCCCGCCCCCAGCCCCTCCAGTGTGTGGGGCAGGGAGTGGGTGTGTAGGGCATGGGGGACCCAAGCAGCCTCTCGCAGACTGGAACTTTTCCAGCCTGAGGGAAAATCTATGGTTTCCCACATTATTCTGCTTTAAAGAAGAAACCATTCCTAAAGTTTGTTCATGACTCTTTCATAGATTTTTGTGACCCACTTTTGACTCGCAAACCACAGGTTGAGAAATGCTGGTCTATATGACCTAATGCAGCATGGTGTATTTGCTTCCCCCTGAGCTGTCTGTCTATACATGAAGTAGCTGGGGTCCTGCAAACAGCACAGAGCTCTGCCATGTTTTTGGAACACCTGGGTTATCTCTGCGTTGTGCACTGTGCTGTGCAGTGTAGACATTCCCTGAGTGACTTGCCTGTGATCACCTAGCATATTAGGGCGGAGCTGGGACTAGTGCCTAGGTTTCTCTGTCCTGGTCCAACACTGCATGGTGGTGGCGGGGGGCACTGCCACCGGAAACCCCCCCTTCCCTTTCTCCTTCCCACTCTCCTCCCTCCCTCCCTCCCTGTTGCCTCCCCCTCCCTGATGGGGGCATCGCAGCGGCTCCTTTGCTCCCTCACCCCTTCTGTCTGTAATGCTCCAGGCCCTCACAGCTAATCAGCATGCATCCTCTGGGTGGCATATGCACAATTGCCCCGGAGAGTTACAGATAGATGGACAAACTAAGGCTTTTATCATCTTAGAATTTCTTCAGTAACCATCACAGTGTTGTGAGCCTCAGTTTACCCATAACACTGGTACATGGGAAAGAATGGGTTAAAGTGAAGCTGGAGTTGCTGGCCTGTCCTACTAAAGGCACATCCATTCCTCTATAGCAGGGGTAGGCAATGTTTTTTGGCCAGAATGCCAAAAAACCTACAATATCTACCTTGGAAGGTGCTGGAGTGCTGGCATGCCAGAAAAACAAAAAGGGGGGTGGGGGGACTACATGGCAGGATGCACTGCATATTACTATATTTAATAATCATAAATATTGCCTTTGTTGTTGTGTATTCCTTTTTTTGTTGAGCATGTTGCAATGAGAGAGAAAAAAGAGACAAGAGAAAGAGGAGAGAAAGAAAGAAAAAGGAGAGCAGAGCGAGAACTAGACACGCACACAGAGAACCATTGTGCACAAACACACAGAACGAGAATACACCCAGAACAGACACATGCACGCACACATCTGGAACCAGATGTGTGCGCACACAGACATGCAGAACCAGACAGAGGCAGACAAACACACAGAACCAGATGCATGGGTGCATGGAGCTGGGCTCCTGGGCCACTGCACAAAGTCTGACCCAACAATGCCTTGGTCCCCCCAGAGTTCATGTGCTTCCCTGGGGAGCCAGCCCTGGGCTGAAGTGTAGCTGGCTGAGGCCTTGGCCCAAAACCTGCCCATCAGCCCAACCACCCACCCCGCACAACTAAGCCCGCAAAAGGTGCAGTGCTCCTGGCAAGGGGCAGTGCCAGCCTCATCCCGGTGTGGGGCTGGGCCAGGGCTGGGCTCAGAACGGGTGGGAGTCAGGTGGGCTTAGCTGCAAGCCCTGCTGCAAGCAGCCTGGGCTCCATGGTTGGCCGCAGCTACTAGAGCCTGGACAGGCTGCAGCTGGGAGGCTGCAAACAGCTGCTCCGGGCTCCGGCATCAGCTCCATACCAGCAGATGCTTGTGTGCCTCAGAGTGGACAGTGGGGATAGGGCCTGAGGCAGCACAGTCCTCCTGCTGTCTGCTCTGAGGTGCATGTGCAGTCACTGCCAGCATGGAGCTGATAGCAGGGCTGTGGAACCCAGCGCAGCTATTTGAAACCTGCCTGCTGCAGCTGCCCAGAGCTGAGGCTGGCTACAAACAGCTGCACTGGGCTCCAGAACTTAATCATCAGCTCTGTGCCGGCAGCAGGCAAGAGGGTTGTGCTGCCTCAGGCCCCTTCCCCACCATCCACTCTGAGGTGTGCATGTACCCGCCAGTATGGAGCTAATGCCGGAGCCCGGAGCAGATGTTTGCAGCCTCCTGGCTGCACCTGGCCTAAGCTCGAGACCCCAGGCTGTTAATGGCGTGTCGAGCAAAATGGCCTTGTGTGCTGTGCTTGGCACACTTGCTGGGGGGTTGCTGACCTCTGATCTATAGAGACTGAATAGCTTTGTTGACCCATCAACAAAGGCGGGGATTGTAGGTAAGGAGGTGTACAGGGAAGGGAGAAAAATCAGCATGATGGTAGGTGAGCACCTGGAAAAGTGTTGGGAGATGGAAAAAGGAAGAAATTAGCTCCTGGCTAATTTGAAGACCAGCTGGGCAATGTCATGGGGCATAGGGCTTAGAGGCGCCTCCTGGCTTCTATTTCCAGCAGCTTAGGACTGGAAAGAAAACGGCAGAGCAATTTCTGAGGTGGGCTGGACTGGGAACTGAGGAATTCCTTACCCCTTTGAAGGAAGCAGAGAACTTCTGACTCGGTGAGCATTACTCCAGTAAATGCATTTATTAAAGCGGAGCTGTTGGCTTTGCTACTTGGAACTTTGGGTTGCACTGGGTCTCCCCAGGAGGTAAGGTCCAGCCGAACTGGATACTCATTCCTTGAATCAGGGGAGTGGAAAAAAACAGGGAAGCTGAGAGACTGAAAGGCCAGGGTCTCAAAGCGGCAAGAAGCCAGAGCTCTCCCCACTCCAGCTCCCCTTTTTGGTCTAGATAGAAGCCAACACCTGGGCTGGATTCAGTGAGGGACTCCCAAAAACCAGACAAGGCTGTGATGGACCCAAGCAAACACTCCCCAGAGGAGTCGGGAGACTTCATGAGAGGCCTCTGGCTCTGTTAGTTTTACCTGTGGACTTCCACATGGAGGGGCTCTGTGTGTTTGCCCTATCCTAGACTGTTGCCCACCCACATGTTCTCTCTACCAGTTCAGGGAGCCTTCCACAGGATGAGGAAGGGAAAGGAGAATGAGGGCTGCAGTGGCAGCTACATCGTGGCCTTTCTGCATGGGGAGGAGGAGGAGCTGATTCACAGCTAGTAGTCCAACAGGGAAGGAACATTTTACAGGTGAGGTTCTGATCCTGGAAATCCTTAACTCTGGATTTGTGAAGTGTTCCAGAGACAAGAAATTCCCCTAGTTTTAAGTTAAGCATGTACATATGTGTTTGCAAAAGCAGAACCTTGCTATTGTTATGTTTGGTTTAGTTCTAAAAACCCAGATTAGTCTAAAATAGCTGCAGATTCTTTGTAGGTGTGAAAGAAACAGGGCACCTATATTGAAATTAGCCAGTGATCGATTGATTTGTAAACATCAAAAGTCAGCTGTTAAAGCCTTTTAAAATTGTGCCTGCTTAATAGTCAGGCAGAAGTGGGGTGGAGGTATGTATACATATCCATGTATACACACACACACAATTTTAGACCAAGTTTGTTCCCCACTTCTAAAAAAAAACAAACATTTCCTTGTCATATGCACTTCAGTCTTGATCACTTTTTTTTCAAAAAAGTGATCAAGACTAAAGTGCATATGACAAGGAAATAAAACTTTTGGCAAACAGGAAGGGCAAAGTCACTTAGCTTGCTTGTCCAGTTTTATGTACTTTCAGAATTGCAAGTGTGAAGTTAAATACACAGGCCTTTGGGGGCCATAGACATGGGCACACACTGTCCTTTGTTCTTCAGCTAGTGGTCTGGAAAGTCTCACTCTTCCAAGAGTGAAGTTGTCATGTGAAAGGACCTTGGTACAAATTGAGCTCTAACTGAATTTTCAGTTGTGCTGTTGTTTATGTGGCTGCATGTGGTAAGTGCTTTCCTCCAATTCAGTGTGTGCACTTCTCAAAAGGAGGGGATACCATGTCTAGCAATCTGGGTTTGGGCTTTAAATCGGTGGTTTTAAATTTTTTCAGATTCAAGGCGTCCCTCAGAAAATACCAACTCCTAATTTTCACTCATTCTGAGTGCCCTCGCCCCCCTGCATCGTCCTGCCCACGCAGCTCCGGGCGGTCAGTGCGGGAGCCCCGGTCCCGGTCCCCGCACACACTCTTCCGGTCCGGGCTCGGCCGGGCTCTGCGGCTGGGGGCAGGGGCGCTCCTGGCCCCGCCCCGGAAGAGGCTGCGCCGCGCGCAGTTGCTGGCTCGGCTGAGCTGGCGGCTGTGGCGCCGGGACGGGTTGGTGGAGCCAGGCAGAGGTCGGCGCCGGGCGCCCCGGCGGCAGCAGGTCAGTGCCAGTGTCTGCGCCTCGGGGGTCGGGGCCTTCTCCTAGCCTGCGCGGCCCGAGCGGAAGGGGGGGCTGCCCTGAGCTAAAATAATACTGAAGGGATGGGGCGAGAGAGAGAAGAATCCACCCCAGCAGTACGGTGCATCCTGCCTCGGAAGTATCTGTGTTGTTTAAAATCCGAAGCTGTCAGTGACAATGACCATCTTCATCAGCTTTACCGTATGTCCCTGTTAATCTGTGCTGCAGCTTCATTCATTTGCTACAAATTAACCATCAGCACGTTTGAATGTCATGGTTCTTGTTATTTATACAAAGAAGAAGAATAAGCTGATGTTTTGCCCCACTAAGACTTGTGCTGAAGGGTAGCTAGGAAGGTTGCTTCCCTTGCCATTTGCAGCTGAAAGCAAGTCGACCTTGGGAGAGTGCTTTGCACAATGGTTTGTACCAAATGACTGACTGCTTGTAACATTTCTATGGATCATAGGTTTTTGCAAGCACCAAGCTTTTGCCTAGTAGCCTTTAAAATAAGTTTGCACTTCTCCCTGAACTGAATTTTTCAAACCACAGATAAAAAATCCCAAACCAACGGAATGTACAAAGCTGTAATAGGAGACATTACCAGAACACTGTAGCAATCAGCCAGAATGACACTGTCTCCTATGTAAATCCATTGCTTTTGTTCCTGGCTTATACCAGCACATTTTGCATTATTATCAGTTGAATCTACCTTGTGTCGTTTTTATGTATTATTATATCTTTTGTATTTAAAATGGAACACAAATTAAGTTTTTATTTGTAAGTAATGCATGTTAGCAATCCAGTTTTCACTCATTTTATTTCACTTGAGACTTCATTAGAGAGACTTTATTGATTCTGAGATAACAGGAGTGTCCTAAAAATGGGAAGTGTCAAGGACACTGACCAATCTAGGAACACACATGGATCAGCTCTGCTCATATTATTCAGAGTCCAATTTCAGCATCAAGATGTAGAATCAAATTAGGAAAAGTTCGTGGAAATGCTTGTAGGAGGGATTTTTAAAGAATTAATGGATTTCCAAACTGATACTCCTAAAAAGAATGATGACTTAGTTCTTTAGGGCCTGATAAAAATAGATGAAATTTTGTCAGAACTGGGCATCACACCCCTTATGTATCAGAAACTAGATAAAATGGAGAATTCCTGGAATTCCTTCTCCTTAAGATGGTGTCATTCTAGTCTAATATATTTTACTTCCTTGGAGAGATTGCTAGTTTTTTCTAAACTGCCTGAAGAAGTACGTTTATAATATGGCCACCTTACTTTGTTTATTACAGAAGTTTTACTGAACAATAATGTTGTTAGTACTAAAATTCATTTTATTACAGCCACTAGACAGTCTGGTTACTACCAAGGAGAAATGCATCATGCTGTTCTTTTTTTAGTCTATCCGCTGGATTAGATATTTGAATCCCAAGTTGAGGCTGGTCTAACGTAAGATTATTTCTTAGTGAATCATGCAGATGGTTCTTTATGGTTGCCTCTATGCACGATGGCTGACCTCAGAGCAGGGAAATGTTTCCTGGATGATGTCACTTAAATTCCCTTTTCTATATTTCTTGTTCCACGCCCAGTTTTCTTATTGTTTTTGAAGACATTCCAGCTGCCCAGTGTCAGTCTTTCATTCACAACAAAGCTCTACGGAACTGAGTTATGTCAACAGCTGCTTTGATTACTTTGGTGAGAAATGGAGGTTGTCAAATGAGGAGAGTGCTGCTAACGCCCTGCCTTTTGCAAGACAGCAAGTGTGTGACTGCTGTGCGCCTCAGCTCTACGACTCAACGCAGGGCTTCCCGCTTCGACCCTGATGGCAGTGGGCGGCCCGCCACGTGGGACTCCTTTGGTATCTGGGACAACCGGATTGATGAGCCCATCCTTCTCCCACCAAGCATAAAATATGGGAAGCCCATTCCCAAGGTCAGCCTGGCCAATGTGGGCTGTGCCACCCAGATTGGCAAGCGGAAGGTGAACGAGGACCGCTTCAATTATGCTGAGCTGACTGACAGCGTCCTGTATTTTGCAGTGTATGATGGGCATGGCGGGGCAGCTGCAGCTGATTTCTGTGATAAGTACATGAAGAAGTATATTGAGTACGTGTGTAGGGTTCTGAGGTTTGGCTTTACTGTTGGTTGTATTATTTGCATCTAGTCTATAGAGCTGGAAAGGACCTCCTTAATTACAAAGTCTAGATAGGGTTATCATGGGTAACCCTATCCTGTAGGATTATAGGAATGTAGGCTAGGAGGGCTCCCATAGTGTTAGGGACTGTACAGATACATAGTAAAGCACAATTCCTGCCATAGAAAGCTTCCAGGCAAAAATAGATAAAAGAAAGGAACACTTGCAAGAGGTAAGGAAGATAAATAATGATCATCCCTGCTTCTACAGACTAGGACCTAAGCCCGTGCTTGGCAATGAGAACTGCAAGTTGTCACACAAGGGTAGTTTTGATTATTGACATGAGAATCCTGCTGGATCTTCTCTTGTAAAGAGCCTTGCTAGTTGCACGTCTTGCTTTTGAGAGCTGGGAGGGATGCTGTGGTACCAGAGTAGTTGCAGAAGTTAGACACGGCCAGAAAAAGCAGTTCCTTTACCCTTGAAAAAGGAAGGTCCTTTAGGCACTCTTAGTACAGGAAACTCTCACTTTGCAGGTTTGGCATTCATAGTTTCAGATATTCGCAAATGCTAAACACGCATTTTAAATATGCTTTATACACTTACAGGAGCTCCTCAGGAGCTCTGTGCTTGCCGCTGCTGCACTCCCACTGCTGCCACCGGAACCGTGCTCCACCCCGCTGCTGGGGGCGCTGTGTTCATGAACGCAGTACCTTATTCATGGATTTCACCATTTGCAGGGGATAGGAGAACGTATCCCCTGCAAATGGCGAAGGTCGCCTGTACTATTGGGGTAGATGTCATCCTTTTCTCTCCCCTCCTCTTGTTTGCCTGGGGGAGCCTCTCTCTCTCTGTGCAGAGATCCAGCATGAGGCTAAAGAAGGTTTCACGCCACTTCCCTGTAGAAGAGGGAATCTCACAGAGCAGACCCTATCCAAAACCATTGAATTAACAGGGGCATTTGAGGTGCTCGCCACCATCCAGGATTGGGGCTCCAAAGAGCACATTAAGTTGCATACAGGATCTGTAAAGACCAGGCCGGTGGTTAGGCCACTGGAGCCCAAACCACAGGCTGAGTCAGGGTTCAGGAGTTGAAGACTGAATTACCAAAGTCGTGTAGAGTTCTCAAAGGCCAGAGTCCAGGGACAGAGCCAAGCGGGGTGAGAAGCTAAGAAACTAGAGAGCACAGGTTCCAGGGGGCTTGCCACCCTCATGTACAACTGTTGTCTGGCCTGCAGTCTGCTTCTAGAGGCAGATTTAAATGGAGAGGCTGATCCCCACCAACAGCTACTCAGGAGGTCCTAACAGTGGCCAGCTGGATCATGAACTGTGGTAGTGCTGCCAGTTGGAGCCCTGGGCAGATGTAGCCAACTAGGCAATAAGTCCAAGTGGAGTTACTTGTTTTGGCCCCTGACAGAGTGCTCAGAATCAAGGGCACTTGATACTGTACGTGGTCCAGAAGAGGCTCATCATGTACTCCAGGTGGCTTAATTTAAGGCTGTCCACTTTCTGAGTAGTGCAGAGTGTTCTGACAGGTAAGAATTGCCATGGCTGGGTGTTAACCTCCATTCAGGTTGAAGGGCAATAGTTTATTAATGGTTTTATACCAATCTGTCACAATAATATAATGCAAGTCAGTGTCTTTGGTGAGAAGACAAGTCTGTGGAAGATAGTGATTTAGACAATGCTGTGCTTGAGGAAAGAGTTGAAATTCCCTTTATTTTGTTTCCAGAGAATTTCTTCCTCAGGAGGAGAACTTGGAGATTGTGTTGACCAAAGCTTTTCTAGAAATAGACAAAGCATTTGCAAGACATGCTCACTTATCTGTGGATGGTAGGTAAAGCAACTGTTTTTCTTTGCCAGCGTGTGGAAATGGCATTCTGTGCAACTGCTAAATTGTTTTTGTTTTAAGACTTTTTGAAATGTGCTTGATGCTAGGAAGCAATTTTATGTAATGGAAGTTTTTGCTTGGAGTATTTCATGCAAACAAGACAAGCAACTTCAATCATGCTTGAACACATTACTAGGAAATGGTATGGAAAAAAACTAAAGCTTGGGAATGGATACAAAGCTGAATTTTTGCAAAATTTTCACTGATGTTACCGTAGAGGGCTATTTAATACAACCAATAGAACATTTACCAAATTTAATATACCTCCAGAGAGTTGAAATTCAACAAGGATAAAAACTATCTTAATACTAGGTGAGAAAAAATGCTAGTACTTACTGTGGCTTCTAGAAAAAAAATAACATCTAAACTTCCCTTCTTGGCACTGCTGTGGCAGTTGAATAAAAAAAAATGATGCTTAGATTAGTAAGATAAGGAATTAAATGTAGCTTTGTCTGCCAGTGAGAGAGAGACAGTCAAAGTGAAAACACAAGGTCTGTCCCAGACTTTTAGTTGTGGTAAAATTGGCCGTAAGCCTGTTTTGCACTTCCCCCATCCTGGGCTGGCTGTGTCAGGTTATTCCAGTATATGCTTATGCTGATTGCTGATGGCCTGCAAGGTTGTTTTTAAGTAGCTGGGTCTTGCAGTAACACAGGGAAACTGGTCATAAACCGTGGATGTGGTAGGAGCCATAGGGCTGGCCCTCTCCCACTGTAGTGCTCTGTAAGAGTGTGTTGCTAATCAGACTGCCAGACCAGGTTGCACTCCTGGTGTGCAATACCTCCGGCACAACTGTGGACTGGGCCAGGGGTTTGAAAAACTTTGCAAATGAAGTTAAACAGAGCATTTAGTGGGAGATATTATGTTTCTAAACACGCAGTAAAAATAGACAATCTGATTTGAATGGAAAGGGTTTCCTATGTTAAGTAAAAATGCCAAAGCATGCATTTTGCTTTAGACTCCAAATATTTCCCTCTAGAGTGTTAATAACCCACAGTGGCACTGAGGTTTTTTTTTTAACCTGACTTAAAACAAACTAAGCTATATAGAATTGGATCTGACATTTTAGCAACTTCTCTTTTGTTTTAACAAATTCATGTTGAGGACTGAGATGAAGACCCCAGTCTCCCATTTGAATCTTCCATTCATTGTTTTACCGTTTATTGTGCTGTACTGAAACACAGCAGCATTTGGAAGTCTATCTTACATTCATCTAATTAGTCCTATATGGCTTGAATGGGTCACCCTGAAAGCTCCAGTTCAGGAAAGTATTTCAGTCCTATTACACACCTTCTTAAGTGCTTTTCTGAATTGTTGCTGAAAAGCAGGTTTCATTTACAACCACATACAGCTTTATGGTATTTGCAAGACTCTTTTTAAATAGGACAGTCAGGTCCTTTTTAAGTGGAATTTCTTTGTGTTTCAGAGCATCTCTGTGAAGAGAGGCACATCATAACAGGGAAAATATTGTTGCTTAAAACACTGTGTTGGTGCATTGAAAGTGGCTGTTGATTTACAGCCACAAAGGATTCTAACATGTAACTGAAATCTATTTTATTGGGAGATGCATGGTTAAGTCACTCTTCCCCTTTTTGAATAGTTCCCTAAAACTGGTTAGAAACCTGAGAGGTGCCAGTTAAATTTTCAGAACAGCTAAACAAGTTACTGGGTGTTGGATAAAGTGTTCTCACTAGTCCAGCTTAAGAAGATATGAAAATTAAACTGACAATTCAGTTTTCGTGAGTAACACCATACTTAGTGCCCTGTAAAAAAATATTATGAGGAAAGAGCATCAAGAGATACCTCATTCTGTAAGGTACAGAGTGCTTCTCTAGAGAGTCAGAGTGTCCTCTTTCGTAGGAATTAGTAGGTGCTGAAAGTATTTGGCACACTTTTGTATATTGACTAGTCTCTGAAATCATGCCATAAAGGCATGAAATGGGACGTACAGACAGACATAAACGAATAGTGGTTTGTCAACATAATTAATTTAGCATGTACAGTGTTGAAATTTGAAATTTTTGAGACTTGTTTCTATTAAGGAGTTGAATAAAATTGAACTGCTTTTTTGCATGTATCCTTATCAGAAGCCTAATTCTGTACTGTTACAATTTGCTAGCAGAGCTGTTTGTAATTTTTGGCTATTCTAGATGTGATGGAGTCAAAAGTGAAAGTTTTATTGAAACCAGTGGTCCTGGAACACTGAATGTTTCTGATAACCTGAGGAGACCCAGGGGATGTCTTCCTAATTAAATTCTGCCTCATCCTGGGAATTGGAAAGCAATACTCCAATTAATTGGTCAATGACCATCTCTGCTGATTCTCTGAGGTCTTGGTTTATACATAACTACGGTGGATATTAAAGATGACTTGGGTCTTAATGCTAATACCTGCAAACAAGGCAGTGGGATTCCCCATGTTCTTAAGTTTCTGCATAAATGTAAGCAGAAACAAGACCTCACTGAGTGAATCTTTAGCTAAATCTGTAGATAATTTGGGGAAGACAGTTTGGGAATGTTGCTATGTAAGTGGCCATTAACAGAGCTTAAAATGTGGGTTTTCTTGTAGGAACTGTGGCCCTTATTTGAAAGCTAAACGCTTTTTTGTTTGTTTTTACAAACCCTCCCTCAAAATAAAATTACCCTTTACATAGCTCAAATATTTTAAAAACACATGAACTGGTGGTTACTTCAAGCTCTAAATATAAAATTTCATAGATGTAGGGTTGGAAAGGACCTTATAGATCTTCTAGTCCTACCCCCTGCTGTGGGCAGGAGAGAAAACTGGGCTCAAATGACCCCAGCCAGGTAAATATTGAGCCTCCTCTTAAAGACCCCCAGGGTAGGAGCCATCACCACTTCCCTTGGGAGTTGGTTCCAGATCCTAGCCACCCTGACTGTGAAGTAGTTAGCCTTCTAATGTCTAGTTTAAATCTGCTCTCTAGCAACTTATGGCCATTATTCCTTGTTAGTCCAGGAGGTGCTCAGGGGAACAAGGTCTCTCCCAAACCTCACTAGTCCTTCTCTAGTAAGTTTATAGATGGCCAGCAGGTCCCCCCTCAGCCTTCTCTTGCAAAGGCTAAACAGGTTCAGGTCCTGTAGCCTCTCCTCATAGGGTCTGCCCTGCTGTCCCTGGATCATGCAAGTGGCCCTCCTTTGGACCCTCTCAATGCTGTCCACATCCCTCCTGAAGTG